CTCTCTTCTTCAGACTAAACACCCAATTCTTTCACTTACTTTTGGGCAGAAAGAATCACATCTCAAGAAATAAAGCTGAGATCAGAGATGTGAGGACACACAGCCTCCAGGGAATGGCCCGGGCTCTAAGCCACATTCAGCCTGGTGCCTGCCAGTTACCTCTCTGCCTCTGATCTTCACAATCAGAGAAGAGCTTACGTGGCTAGAATCCAAATGCCATGGGATCACTGATATACATCTAGAAGCAACTGTCCAGGTCACCCGGTCCAACCGCCTTATTTTACAGATGAACGAAGGCCCAGGGAGGTTGTGACTTACCCAACAGCACACAGGCCCCGCAATTTTACAGAAAAGGAAACTGAGGCTCAGAGAGACTAAGACACTTCTCTAAGGTCAAACAGACGGTATGTGTCCAAGGTGAGACTCGAACCTAGGTCCTTGAACCACACTGCCTTCAGTGAGAGTTGGGAGGGATGGAAGAACACAGAATGTGAGATCTGGAATAAAGAGGTCACCTAGACTAATCCCTTCAATTCACAGCTGAGATTGGCAAAGAGAAGTAGCTATCAAAGGTCTCACAGCTAGTGAGAAGAGCGGAAATGGGAAGGAAGCCAAGTCCTGTGATCTCCCTCCCAGAATTCTTTCCACCACACTAACCCACCTGGCCTGCCTGAAATGAGGGCCTCAAGTTTCAAAGGCCCACGCTTAGAATTGTCATTATTATTACTATCTGGGCAGGTCACAAACCTCCCTTATCCTGGAACATGGTTCTTTGTATGTCCTGGCCTCCTTTAGCTGCAGTTTATGGACGTCTCTTCTCAGAATCAGGTTTTAAAGTACCTGATGTTTGGTGGGCAGGGGAGACAAATGAAGTAACCAAAGGAAATTCTATAGATTTCAGTTCATAGTTAGTGGGTGGGGGGGAGTCACCTTTTTCCCATTCAGGTTCACGGATTGCATGAAATCTATCCATGGACTCCTCTGGGCTCCTGGACCCCACCTTAGGACTCCCTGGACTAAATCATTTCTAAGGTCCCTTGTAGCAAAAGTATTCTATGATTCTATGAACAAGCCACAGTCTGTGCTACCAAAGGACTTAGAACTCTGGTGGTGATAAGACATAGGAATGGAGAATGATACATTTGGAGCTGGAAGGGACCTTAACATCTAGTCTAAACCCCCTTATTGTGCAGATGAGGGAACTGAACAAGGCCCAGGAAAGTCACTAACCCAAGCACACAAAGGTAGTGATCCAGTACTCACGTCCTTCGGCTTCCGGTCCAGGGCTCCTTCCCCTGACCCATTTTGTATTCTGAGAGTTACAATAGGAGGCAGAATACAAGTGCTCAAAGAGAGGGGGTGTGATGGAGGGGAGCTTCAAACTTCTGACTCCACAACTTTCTAGATATATGACAAGACAAGTCACTTCCCCTCTCTCTGCCTCAGTTTTCCCCTCTATTAAGTGAGCATAATAGTACCTATTCTACCTACCTTACAGGATGATTGGGGGGATCAGATGAGAAATTGGGCATAATTGGATTCTATATAATTGTAAGTTATTAATATAATAAGGGAAGTAAAAAAGTGCTGAGATAGTGCAGAAGGAGAGAGACCGTGATTTACAAGGGAAGGACCAGGAAAGATTTTCATATAGGAGCGGGCTCTGTCAATTCCACCAAAACTAGACTGATTATCTCGCCCTCAAAACCCTCTCCTCTTCTTTGCTTCCTGTTAATGCTAAGGGCACCACCATCATCTCTGGTCCCCAGGCTCACACAGCAGTGACATCCTCAGCTCCATGGTGTGTCACTCTCCCATTTCCAATCTGCTCCCGAGTCCCATACATTCTACCGTCATAACATCTCCTGTACGTGTCCTCTTTGGCCTCTTCCACCCCCTGGGGCAGGCCCTCTACACCTCCTACCTGGACTATTGCAGGAGGCTGCCGGTGAGTCCCCCTGCCTTGTCTCACCCCACTTCGGCCCATCTTCCACTTGGCTGTCAAAGTGATCTTCCTAAATCAAAGATCAGGTCACTCCTCTGCTCAGTAAACTGCCTACTATGTCTAGGGTCAGACATAAAATCCTTGGGTTGACCTTTAAAGCCTTGTAAAGCCTGGCCCTTCCTCCTTTCCAGCCCTTCCTACACTTTCCTCCCATCCAAGAGACACTACCCTCCTTGCTAATCCTCTCACAAAGCCCTCCATCTTCCCAGCTCCCGGCAGTTTCATTGCCCCCTACCTGGAATGCTCTAGCTTCTCCTCTCCTCTCCTCCCTCCCGGCTTCCCTGGTTTTCTTCAATCTCAGCTTAAATCCTCCCTTGGCAAGGTCTTTCTCAATCCCCACCATCACTCCCCAGGCTGCTGGTGCCTTCCCTCTGGGGACACCTTCCATCCGCCCTGTCGATATCTGTTTGCATATACATGTTTGCATCTTCACAGTAGGACCATGGGGGTGCCTTTCCCTGCATCCCTCATCTCTTTAGCATAGTTTTTGGCACATGATAAGTGCTTAATAATCAGACTGACTGGCTGACTTCCACATATAGGTTCAGCCAAGCACTAAAATGAGGGCACTCATTTAAAAGTCATAATCCAAGGAATGTTAAATTTCAGTCAGAATTTATTGAAAATAAGAATGTCAATTTTTTCCTATCCAAGTTTGCAAACCTCCCTGAAATCTATCCATGGATTCCTCGAGTTAGAGGTGTTCCAACCTTCTGGCCTTGAAGCCCAGAGGGGTCATGTGACCAAAGTCACTTGTCCAAGGTCACTCAGAGGAACTGGAGTTTGAAGCCAAATCCTCCAACTCCAAATCCCGTGCTCTTTGTACCACTGCAGCACCCTCCCGCACCATACTGTAACTTATTATTATAGAATCACAATCACTGAATAATTACAGGGTTGTAAGAGCCCTTGGAGGTACACAAGCCAATCTGTACCTGAACTGTACAATCTCTGGGGTGCCATCTTAATGCATATTTCCTAGAGGGTGGGCTAGGTGACCTCTAAGGGCTCTTCCCATCTCTCATATTCTGAACATGAAATGTCTGGGCCGGGAGGGGCCTTAAACATAAAATGTTAGAACAAAGAATCTCTGAGTTAGGAGGGACCTGTGGCAGGAATTCTGATTTTTATAATAATCCATATGATGTGTGTAATGAATACACTGTGTGATGAACAGATTAGATTTTTCAGAACTGCCTTTTCCAGTTTGTGAGTCCGATTCACAATGCAGCTTAAAAGGATCAATCAAACCTTGACAATGCTCACAACCACTGGCATCCTTCTCCCTGCGTACCTGATGTGAATCGAACTGTAGAACCCGTTTCTGTCACAGAACTCTGGTCCTGTGACCCACCGAGTAATAGCTCCCAAGGACTCCAGTAATATTGCTCCCACAGGACTCCAGGGTCCTATTATTTTCCATTTGTGGGTTTGTCCTGGGAAAACACTCTGGCCCTGGGAAGGAATGCTTGTAATCCACCTCCCCCCCCCTCCCTTCCCACTTGTGATTTATGTTTATAATCTCTGTCTTCACTTCAGCAAGGTGGAATGCTGATCAGGAGAATTCCCCATTTACCAATCTGTTCCTCATAATGAAACTAATGAATTACACAGCTACCTGATTACTGGCACTTTGTCTCTGGCCTGCTGTTTCCTCATTCCTAGGTTAGAGACTGGCTCAGTAAAATCCTGTTAACAGACCTTAAAACATAGAATTTAGGCTGCTAGGTGGCACAAGGACAGAGCAGTAGACCTGGAATTAGGAAGACTATCTGAATTCAAATCCTGCTTCAGACACTGGCTGTGTGACCCTGGGCAAGTCACTTAACATCTGTATGCCTCAGTTTCCTCAGCTGTAACATTAGAGATAATAACAGCACCTACCTCTCAGGGTTGTTGTGAGTATCAGATAAGATATTTGGAAAGCGCTTAGCACAATGCCTGGCACACAACAGGTCCTGTGTGAATGTTAGCTCTTATTATGAATGATTGGAACATCCATTTGACAGCCTTTAAACACGTCTGCCTGTTCTGGGAGGAACCTTCGAGGCGGACAAGCCCGGTTCGATCTCCAAGAGCATGCAAGTGAATTTCAGAAGCAGCTTGGCGGGCGGGCGGCCGGCCGAGCGGAGGCCCGCCGTCATCCTCGGCCCCTGGTCTGGGAGCCTGGGGCTGCTTCAATTTCTGTCCTGGCACCGGAAGCCGCCCGGGTCCTCTAATCTTAGTTCACACCAGCTGCCTCTCCGTCTCCTCCCACTCTCCCCTCCTCCCGCCCTAGCCCATTTGGGACCGGAAGCCGGGCTGTTCCTAATTCTAAGGCTGAGCTCCAGGTCCCATCCGGCGTCTTCCTGCCCTCCTCACCCGCACCCCCACCCCCACCCCCACCCCCACCCCACTCTCTCCCAGCGGCAGCGCCTTCCCTTCCTCTGCCTTCATCTCCCCTCTTAGCCAGCAGTGCATCTGCACCCGGGATCCGACGCGCCCACCCCGGGGGGGGGGGGCGGGCACACTAACTCTCAGTGCCTTTTCTCGGGGGCCGAGCGAGTGGGGAGAGGGCGTGTGACACTCTTCTAGGGGCCGCTCTCCCCACTTCCCTGGCTTCTTTGCATAGTGCGGTAATGTGACCCGGCAAGGGGAAAAGAGGTAGGGACCTCCGTGAATGGACTGGGGGGACCCCCTCCCCCTCCCCGTTAATGTTTAATCTGAGAAGATCGTCCGATGGGATTTCGGTGGCGTGATCTCCCCGCGCCCTGGGCGTCACACGTACACGCCCCGCAGGATTTAGGGAAAGCCATCCGACCGCGGCAGAGCGGACCAGAGCGCAACCCAGGAGCGCAGCAGTCTCGCGTAAGGGGATCGGAAACGCCCCAGCCCGGTACCTGCCCGCCGGCCGCAGCTTCCTCAGCTCCCTCGCCTGAGCCCTCACAGACACACTGGGGGCTGGCTTGGGGGAGGGGAGGGGCGGGGAAGGAGGGAGGGTCCTCGAGGAACTGGCTCCCTGCGCGCTCGGAGCGGAGCTGCCAGGTGACAGCGTAGGCATCCTTGCCCCGCAGCCATCCTAGTCCCGCGAGCCCCTCCTCCGCTGCCCAGGAGGTCTCCAAATTAGCTCCCGACCCTGGCCGCGCAGCTCCATTCCCTGGCTTCGGACCCTCCAACCCAGACTCGGGGCTGAGCCGCGTGCGCCCCCGGGCTCTGAGCCTTCGCCTCTCTGGGGAGCAGTCGGGGCTCAGCTGCTGCCCTTCAGGCACGGGGCTGCCACCTTCCCCGGTCCCACCTCCGCTGACCCCACACCCAGCCCGGCGCTCGCCTCCCGAGCTCCTAGACCAGGCCCCCCAGACGCCGCTAGAAGCATGGGCGCCTGCACTCTGAGTGCGCCCTGGCTCCTGCTGGGGCTGGGGCTACCGCTGCTGCTGCTCCTGGGGCCTGGCCTGGCCTGTGCGCAGGAGGACGACGAAGGGGACTACGATCTCCTAGCGCTCGCTTTCCCCTTCGAGGAGGACAATCAGACCGACTTTGTCAAGCAGGTGGCGTCAGCAGCCTTCTACCGCAGCAACAAGGTGGGTGTGCAGGCAACTTGAGGAGACTGGGAGAGGGACCTGCCTGGAATCCGGCAGGATGGCAGAACCCCCGCCCCCCCCCAGGCACTGACATCCAGTGCTTAGCGAACGGCCAGAGCTGGAGCTGATGGGCTCCTTAGAGCTTAGAATGCTAGAATGCAGAGAACAGCATGTTCGAATGAAGATCGGAGAATGTCATAGCTGGCCGGGAGGGAGCTAAGAACGGAGAATGTCGGGGGGTGGAGGGGAGCTTACAACGGCGAATGTCGGGGGGTGGAGGGAAGCTTACAACGGCGAATGTCGGGGGGTGGAGGGAAGCATAGAACAGAATATCAGGGGTGGAGAGGAGCTTAGAACATCAAACCTTAGGAATATAGACTGTTAAAACTGAAAGGGCCCTGGCCTTGGTCTCAGTAAGCCCTGGATTCAAATCTTGCTTCAGATACTTTGCAGCCGACACGGTGTAAGTCACTTGATAATAATAGCTCTTACATAGATAGCACTTTAACCAGATTGTCTCATTTGCAACAACCCTGTGAGGTGGATACTAATGTTATCGCTATTTTACAAATGGGGAAATGGAGGCTGAGATGCCTAGGGTCACCCAGCTAGTAAGTGACTGAGGCAGTATTTGAAACTTACTCCAAGTCCACAAGCTATCCATTACACCTGAGTTTTCTCATCAGTAAAGTGAAGGGGTCGGACTGCATAGTTTTTAAGGCCTTTTTCAGATCGCAAATCAATCCTAACTAACCTTGAGTGTAAGAACAGAGACCACTGAAGGTTAGAGTTGCCCCCAGAACTGGAGATGTAACCTAAGCTGGAAAGAATTTTACAAGATCCTCCCTGAAGCCTCTTTAAGCAGAATGAGGACGCTGAGAGTTAGAGGGAGGAGGCAGCGGGAGGTTTTCACAGTGGTGTGAGCTTTCCCCCACCTCCAGGGCTCCTTCCCTCCCAGCTCTCTGAATTTCATCTTGTTCAGCCCCAACCCCACCCCCTGTGTCTGAGAGGGGAGAAGCAGCTTGGGGAAATGGTAGAGCAGGGATTCCTCTGGCCTATGGGTGGGATAATGGTGTCTCCTCCAACTCCCCAAATTCTGTAATTCCAGGAAAGACCGATTGCCTGGGGAGTTGGAGTACCCCGCCTTAGCTCCAGTCCTTTGAGGGCAAGACCCTTCCCATCTCATCTGTGAAATAGGGGTGGGGGCAAAGGCCAGTGCTCAGTGCAGGGAATGCACATCTGGACATGCTGGTTTGAAGGTTACACCCCCACCTTCTTTCCTTGGAAAATTGAAAAATAACTTCCTGTCCACTGCGAGCTTTGAGCCCCTGCTGGAACACATGTGGCTTGATTTAAGAGAAATACCTCCCTGCTGGAGAGAAAGAGATACTTTTTGGCATGAACATGTGCTTGGATAAAGAATCATATTTAAGAATGTCCCTCTGACTAATGTGGAAATATGTTGAACATGATTGTACATGTGTAACCTATATCAGATTGCTTGCTGTCTCAGGGAGGGGGAAGGGGAGGAGGGAGGGAGAAAAATTTGAAACTCAAAATCTTATAAGAATGAATGTTGAAAACTATCTTTACAAGTAATTGGAAAAAATAAAATACTATTAAGTGGAAAAAAATAAAAGCTAGTATGCTTATTAGGTTCTGCCAGCATTTCAGAATCAGATTCTCTTGATGGTGTTTTTGGGAAAGATTTTTATGGGGAAAGAATATCCCCGGACTTCATGTGGTCCTGTTAATTAATCACCATCTACTTTGTGACACATTCAGCTCCAGAGTAACCAACCAAGATCTCTCAAACAGAGAATTCCTAGAGTACCCAAGAATATTACCAACAAAACAGAATTCTTCTATTTTGATTCCTTTCTTCTTCTTTGCAAAAATATCTTGTAATTTTGCAAACCAGGGTAAGAAAATTTCTATCCACTCTCAAGACTCCCTCAGAATCTGCTATTTTCCAAAGTTTTAACTATGCGGTTTAAAATCCTCTGCCCCATGTATATTTTGACATCATTTCCACATCCACCCACTTCTGATCATTGGACTGTGTTTTCTCAAATACCCACAATCTATTAGAAAATATTCTGCATTCTCTCTCAAAGCATCTTAAATTCACCTCCCTGAAGAAAGATCCCTGTTCCACGGACCGTTTTTTTTTTTTAATTGGCCTGCATAATGAATATCAATACAAACACTAGGGTGTGTCTTCTTGCCGTAAATGCCTTTAAACAGTACAAGAGCCAGGCTTCTTCAGAGAATCTTTATCTTCATCCTTTTATGATCCTATGGAGGTATTATCTGCTATTGACCCCTTTTTAGAGATGAGGTAATGAAAAACTGAAAGATTGAATATCACTAAGAAGATATGGCAGATGATCAATCATAGCTCCGTAGATAGAGATACTCGTTTTATCACTACCAGCGCTACAATGCTCCCTGTCTAATGAATCACACCGTTCTTTCAAGCAGAGATTTTCTTCTTTCCCAGGAATAATACCCAAACTGACATAAGCTCATGGTCCCAAATAAAAAAAACTTCAGTCAAATTGTTAATACGATTCTTAAGTCCAATAAAACAGAATTTACTTTCAGTCCATGGAGAAAATTAACAGTTCCTTTGTCCTACATATAGAAGAAAAAGAAAAAGCAGATTGTGGGTGTAGAAATAAAACATAGCTTTTATTTACACATCTCGGGCCTTGCCTTTCTCTCATTTCATATTTTGGAAGTTTAAGACCAACTACTGAAGTCTGGAATGCAAGAAACTGGTTTCCTTGACAATGATGTCTAAATAGAAGTATTAGGGGTTCTTTCTGTCTAATTGTAGGATGGGCAGCATTTTTTTTAAGAAGCCTGATTATTTGTGAAAATAACATGGTAGAATTATCCAATTCAAATGGGCTTTAGAGCACATGTGAAACACAGTGTCTATTATATTCTTGAATTTGCTGCTGTAGCAACCTGAACAAATGAAATGATTTCTCAAATAGATTGAAATACGGTTAGGTAACCAAAAGAAAAAAAGTCAGAATTCATCCTTTGTTTATGGATCTGCTGGATATAATGGCATTATGTTTTGATTTTATATGCTCCCTAAATGAAAAGATCTTTTTCATTTGACTTAATAAAGACAAATAGAAGACTCAAAAAATGTCCCTCTTTGGGGACTCCTTCCTGGCTTTTCTCTCTCTGGTACACTCTGGGAGGTAACCAACCTTGCTAACCCCTCAGCTGGGCCTTGGTTGGGTCTGAAAGTCTCTGGTGGGGAGGATGGAGCTGGAAAAAGTTTGGGGCTGGGGGAAAGGGGTGAGGCCCTCCCCTCATTCTCATCTCCTTATGTCTAGTGCCCCCCTCCATTACCTTGTAGTTATTATGTGTGTATATATGCTTACCTACACACATATATAAATATATCGTATCTGTGTTCATGTATGTGTATGTATTTATGCATATTGTTGTTCAGTAGTTTTTCAGTCATGTCTGATTCTTTGTGACCCCATTTGGGGTTTTCTTGGCAAAGATATTGGAGTGGTTTGCCATTTCCTTCTCTAGCTCATCTCATATATGAGGGAACTGAGGCAAACAAGGGCAAATGACTTGCCCAGGGTCACACAGCCAGTAAGTGTCTGAGGCCAGATTTGAACTCAGGAAGATGAGTCTTCCTGACTCCAGGCCTGGTGCCCTGTGCACTGTGCCATCCAGCTGTGCATGTGTATACATATTCTTTGCCCCAATTGAATGTAAGTTCCTTGAAGGCAGGACTATTTCACATTTGACTCTGTGTCTCTAGCACAAAGCCTCAAATGTAGTAGGTACTTGATAAATGCTTGTTCATTGATTCTCGTGAGAAGTTGGTACATGGTGCTTGTGTGTGTGTGTGGTGTTCTGAGGATGGGGGGAGGGTGAACCTGGATAGAGAACCTTTGGAGTTTTCCAGGCCAAGGTGCTGAAGGTGTCATTTGGGGTGCCTGCCTTAGGACATTGAATGGTGGACCTGGAGATGATGGTACGAATGGGAATGCTGACCCTGGGAGGGACCACAGCACCCAGAACATTAGCACCTGGAGGCATCAGCTGGCAGGCCCGAGCCTCATCTGCTCTGCCTGCTAGGCCTGCGTGTGTCAGGGATGCTGAGAGGGGCTCACCCTCATCCTCCAGGGATCAAGCTTCTGCTGTAGTGCTTCAATTAGGGCTCAAGCTCCTTGAAGGTGGGGACTTTTCTACTCTGCCTTTGGGTCCTCAGTAGAGACATTTGTGGCAGCTAGGTGGCAAAGTGGACAGAGTGCCATACCAGGAGTCAGGAAGACTTGAGTTCAAATCCTGCTTTAGACACAACTAGCTGTGTAACTCTGGGCAAGTCATTTAACCTCTGTTTACTTCAGTTTCCTCAATGGGGAAAACAGGGATAATAATATCTGCCTGCCAGGGTTGTTGTGAGGATCAAATGAGACAATATTTGTAAGCTGCTGTGTGCCTTTCTGTGTCGGGATCTAGCATGCGTGGCGGCGTCCTGGCAACTACCTGGTGGTGCTGAAGGAGGAAACGCACAAATCCCAGACAGAGCGCACCATCCGCCGTCTCCAAGCTCGGGCTGCCAAGCATGGCTACCTCACCAAGATCCTCCATGTCTTCCATGACCTCTTTCCTGGCTTCTTGGTGAAGATGAGCAGTGATGTGCTGGACGTGGTAAGGCCTGCAGATGTCCCCCAGCCCTGGTCCTTCAGTCTTCCAAGGGAGGGAGCCCACATTACTGTGACAGTCAAAGAAGAAGGGGTGGATTATTAAGGAGAAGCAGCCTTGTGGGGATGGGAAGCCCCTGGGGTGGGTTTGGAGAAGCCCTGGCAACTGGGCAAGGAGTTAGCCTCTTCCAGCCTCAGTTTCCTAATCTCTTAAATGGGAACAATAATCCTTTCACTGCCTCACTCAGCAAGTGATTGTGCAGAAAGCTGCAGAGGAGAGTGAGAAGAGCTCTCAATTTGGAGTCTGAGGACTTGGGTTGAAATCCCACCACTGAAGCTTATTTTCAGCTCTCTTTATGTGCTGTCTTCCCTGATTGGAGCATGATCTCTTTAAAGGCAGGGAAAGTCTTTCTTTTATTTGTATTTGCAGCACTTAGCACAGCACCTGGTTACTCTCTGTTTCTATCTCTCAATTTCTCTTTCTGTCTCTGTCTCTCCCTTCTCCTCTCCTCTTCTATATCTCTGTCTCTGTCTCTCTCCTTTCCTCTCTCTCTCTGTGTCTCTCCTCTCCTCTGTCTCTGTCTCTCTGTCTTTGTCTCTCTCTCTCTCTCCTCTCCTCTCTGTGTCTCTGTCTCTCTTTGTCCTCTCCTCTCCTCTTCTCTTCTCTCTCTCTCTCCCTCTCTCTCTCTTTCTCTTATCTCTAACCACCCACCCATCCATCCATCTACCTTTCTCCCTCTTTCTCTTATAGAGATAAGATCTATTTGGCCTCTCTCTCTATCCATCTATCATCTCTCTCTATCTACCTGCCCATCACTTATTTCTCTATCCATCTATCATCTCTATTCATCTATCTATTGGCCTGTTTATCATCTATCCATCTACCTGTCTGTCTCTCTCTCCATCTATCATCACTCTACCTGTGTGACCTTGGCTAAGTCAGTTCATTTCTCTAAACCTCAGTTTCCTTATCTGCAAAGTAGAGGAGTTGGACCAGATATTCCCTCTGCCTCTAGAGCTCTGACCCCATGCTCTACACAGTTCCATCCTCTCTCCTCTCCTCTTCCCAGTCTCGGAGAGGTTGGCACAGCTCAGGACCCCTCCCCCACTCCGGGTCCCCTTGCTTTGAGCCACTGTGATGGTCATCTGCATCTCCCTCACTCCCCTTTCCAGACTAGACTGATGTCAATCAGCAAGTATTCGTTAAGCATCTACTGTGTGCCAGATACGTTCCAGGTCCTGGGGCCACAAAGACAAAAAATTAAAACAGTCCCTGCCCTCAGGGAGCTTCTACTTTATCAACAGAAATGACTCATACACAAACCTAAACAATCAATCAATCAATCAATCAATCAACATTGCAGTGCCTTCTGTGTGCCAAATGGTTCTGTTACTTTCCTCCTGATTCTTTCCTTTCCAGCTGAACTGGTCTCCTCGCTGTTTCCCAGAAGGGGCGTTCTGTCTGCTGCCCCGTACTTCTGAAGAGGCTGGGCCCCAAGCCCTCCCACCCCCCTCTTGCTGCTAAGAATTCCTAGGTGACTTGAGGGCTGAGCTCAGGTGCAGCCTTTGCCGCCAAGCGGTCCTGGATCCCCTCAGCTGGAGCTGTTCCCTCCCTCCTCAGGTTACCCAGCATTCTCCTTCACTTCGTGTATCTTGGGTCATCTGCCCCAGGAGAGCAGGAACTCTGGCTTTTTGTCTCTCTATCCCCAGCCTGGCACACAGGAGGCACTTAATAAGAGTTGGATTGGGTGATTGTTTTCAACTATTAAGCTCCAGAGATACTGGAGCTGTTATGAAAGCCATGACTTGAGGCCCCTCTGGGCAGCTTCCTTAAAGATGATGTAACACAGGATAAGGTTTCTTCTCTGGGAAAGAAAGTGCTGCTCTGCTGAGCCAGGGCTTGGGGGAGATTCAGCTTTTCAGGTCCAAGATCCTGGGGGCAGAGGGGCTGTGAGCACTGAGGCACACTACAGGCACGGAGCCTTCACCCCAGCCTACCAGTGCACATGAAAAGGCCATCTCTTGCCCACCAGAGTGAGGCTGTCTGCTGTTTTTAGTAATAAAGGTTTTTGGGGTTTTTTTCTCCCAAGATCAAAGACTCTTAGGAGCTAGGACAGAGAATGTCAGAGCTTGGAGGGGCCTTAGAACAGGGAAGGTCAGAGTAAAAAGGGATCTTACCAGTCACCTAGTCAATTGCCCTATTTTACAGCTAAGGAAACTGAGACCCAGGGAGGCTAATTTCTTCCTCCCTGCCATTCAGGGACATCCATAATTAAAGGAAACAGGAGCAGCTAGGTTGTGTAGTGGATAGAGCACTGGCCCTGGAGTCAGGGGACCTGAGTTCAAATCTGGTCTCAGATCAGACACTTGACACTTACTAACTGTGTGACCCTGGGCAAGTCACTTAACCCCAATTGCCTAAAAAAAACCCTCATAATTAAAGGAAACCACACTTCTTTAGCGCCTTAAAATGTATAGTGTTTTCTTGACAATAACCCTAGGAGAGATGGGGTCCAGGTATTATTACAGTTATTTTACAGATGTGGAGACTGAGGCTCAGAGTTGATGCTCGAACCCTGGCCAGCATACTTCCCAACATTCTCTGCTCTCACAGGCATCTCTCTCCTTCTCAGCTTCCCCTTCATACATCATGCAACCCTTTCTCATACTCTAGGCTTCAACTAAACTGTATTACTTGCTGTCCCACAGACACTCCCTTGACTCCCCTGTCTTTGTACCTTAGCTCCAGACCTTTCTTTTTCCTGGAATGCTCTTTCTCCCCTTATTTGCCAGGTGAATTCCAACACATCCTTTACATCCCAGATCAGATGCTGCCTCCTGCAGGAAGCCTGCCTTGATTTCCTTAATCAGTAATGACCTTCGCCCTTGGACCTCACATCCCCTTTGCAACTCACTGATTCACTTATCCACGTCTTAATCGGTTGTGACTGAGTATTAAACCTCCAGCAGAGCCGGCTCTTACCTATCCCTCCAGCTCTGCCCTCTCTCCTGACAGCAAGATTCTCCTCACCCACTGCCTAGCTGACATTTTACCCCAGATGTCCCTCAGGCCATGTTCAAAGCTGAATTCACTCTTTCCTCCCTCATCCGCGTTCCCCTCTTACTCCTGAGGGTTCCACCAACCTCCTAGGCACCCAAGTTCAAAGTTCAAAGATCAATGTAGTCTTCAACTCCTCCCCATTCTGTCTGTTGCTGAATCCTGGCATTTCTATCCTGACACCATCTCTCAAACGTGCCTCCTTCCCTCCTCCCTAGGGCAGGCCCTCATCCCTCCCTCCTGGACTACCACAGTAACAGGCTCTCCCCACCCCCAACCCCCAGGCCAGCCCCCATTCAGCCACCAAGGGATCTTCCCAAGTCCAGCTCTGACCATGTCACTGCCCTTCTCCTGAACTCTAGTGCCTCCTATGACCTCTGCGATCAGATAGAAAATTCTTTGGTTTGTAAAGACTTTCACAACCTGACTTCCTCTGACGTCTACAGGCTTCTCACACTTTACTCCACTCCACTTACACCAAGACCTGAATACTGGTCATCTCCAGCCTCCGGGCATTTTCCCTGGCTCTCTCCCATGCGTGGAGCACTCTCCCTCCTCATCTCTGCCTCCTGGCTCCCCTGGCTTCCTTCAAGTCTCAGCACAAATCTTACCTTCTTTAAGAAGTCCCCCCTCCTTCCCAGCTCTGACCTTCCCTGTTCTAAGCTCCCCCCAGCTCTGACCTTCCCTGTTCTAAGCTCCCTGCCAGCTCTGACCTT